GGTCCGTTTCTGTCCAGAGAACATGATGGGTCCCTGCTGGCTCAAGAGGGAGGGCTTCCCAGACTCACCTGGGGAGACCAGACATGAATTACAGGGGCTGCTCCTCCCATAACCCCTTCTCCTGGCCTAGCTCCGAGGTCTGACTGTCTCTCTCTGTGTCTCTGGCCCAGGGGCTCCTGTGCTCCACTCTCCACACCCCTTCACATGGGGCTCCCCTCCCAGAGAAGATGCCAATGTGTCTGGTACCTCAATCCATGGATGGGAACAGGATGGGACTTACTCACCTGGGATCAGGAGCTCCAGGGCATCACTGGGGTATGACCACACCTGGGGGCTGTTCCTGTAACAGCCGTAGCATCTGAACCTCCACCTGTGAATGGGACTCACGGGACCCACAGGGAACAGGGCCTGGGACTGCCCACTGGGCTGTGGCTGTGAGTCCAGGGTCCAGGAGAGCCTGTCTTTTCCTTCCTTAGTCAGAATGAACCTGTCAAACACCTCCCTTGAGCCACACTGGAGCGTGACGTTCCCTCCTGAGGGCACGACAGGGCTGGGCTGGGCTGAGAGGCTGGGTTTGCTGTAGGATCCTAGGAGAGGAGGAGGAAGCCTATTAAATGGGGATCACACCTCCCTCATGTCCCCCAGGGCTGGGCTGTGAGAGGGAGACACCCTGAGAGCAGACCCCCTTCCTGAGGGCAGAGCCCGAGGCTGGGACCCCTGAGAGTCCTCTCACCTGTCGCCCGCAGCTCCAGGGGGTCACTGGGCTCTGACCAGCCAGTGGAGCTGTTATAATAACAGGAGTATCTCCCTGCATCGTGCTCTATGATGTGTGTGATGGAGAACTTGCCCTTGATTGTGGACTTCCTTTCAGTCTGTGTGTTCCAAAGCACATGTTTTCCTTCCTTATACAGATCAAACTTCTGGGCCTCCAGGGTCCCCTCACACCAGAGGGTCACAGGGCTCCCATAAGGGATCACAGGGCCTGGTTCAGCCCAGAGGGTGGGTTTGGGGAGGGTCCCTGGAAGGAAACCAGAAGCTGCATTACAAAAGACTCCCCCCCCCCTCATCCCCCAGCTCATCCAGGACCTCTGTGCTCCCTCCTGAGCCCCAGGGCTGAAGTACCAGCTGGGACCTGGAGCCTGGGGAGGACTCACCTGTCTGCGTGTGGATCCTCTGGCCCAGACTCAGCCCTGGAAGAGTCCATGTGAGAGATTTGCATGCGGACATCTGAGCTGATTCTCCTCCCATCAGGGCCCCGCCCACTCGAGCTGCCTGAGCCTGAGGTTCCCCATGAACAAGGGAGTGTCGCCACCCCTCCTGCTGCCCCTCCCCGTGTCCACAACTGACCGAGGCAGAGAAGAGCAGAGAGGATGGACATCATGGCGTCTGCTCTGGAGGCTCCTGCTGTGCAAATGGAGGAGACTTACGGCCTGAAAAACAGAGACGCACAGGATGTGGTGGGTCAGAAGCTGTTGCAGCCCTTCCGGGTCCGCAAGCTGTGAACCCATTGCCTGCGGACTGTCCCGCCCTGGGCCTGGCTCTGAGTTTCCCCAAACTGAGGGCTCAGGAGGAGAGAAGGCTCTTGGGGGTCAGGTGCCCGATCCTTCCCAGGCACTGCGGGAATCTTTTCCTTTGTTCCTGGTGACTCTACACATGTGGTCTGGCCTTTGGATTCCGTGACGACAATTTTGAAGGGACTTTGCAGTGTCACGTTGGTGCTGCTCATCCATCAGGAAACAGTCTCAACTCCCAGTGAAGTTTCCATAGCAGAGGTTTTAGTGCTTCATTCCTCAGTTGTTAACTTGAAGCTCAAAATGGAACTGCCGATGGGCCCAGCAGATCCCACTTGTGGAAATATATTCTCAGAACCCGAAACACCAATCAGAAAGATTGTTCATAGCTAAGACCTGGAAACAGCCCCAGTGCCCATCTGTAGATGGGTGGGTAAAAAAGCTGTGGTACATTTACACCAGGGAATACTATCCAGCTCTGAAAAAAGAAGGACCCCTTACCCTTTGAGACAGCATGGAGCCACCTGGAGCATATTATGCTAAGTGAAATAAGCCAGTCAGAGAAACACAAATAGTGCCTGATTTCACTTATATGTGGCATCTAATGAACAATGTAAATGATAAAAAAAAATAAGTCCAGAGACATGCTGCATGGAACAACTGGACAGATCTCAGAGAAGGGAGGGCGGCAGAAAAAGATTAACTAAAGAACTTACCTACATATATGCATAGCTCAAAGCCATAGATATTAGTGTGTAGAAGGCCTGCAGTGGGGTGTGTGTTGGGTGGAGGGGGGTGCCATATAGGCAGAGATGAAGGCCATCTGTAATAATGTCAATAATAATACCAAAAATACAGTATTATCTTGAAGGGGAAGGCTATGTATATAATAATAAAAGGCCAATATGCTAATTAGACTGGTCTTCCTTCTGGATGTCCTTTCAGAAGAAGCCGGGGCTGTGAGGGCAGCCCAGGTCCCAGGTGCCAGAGGGAAGGTGGTGCTGGCAGACAGGGGAATGAAGGCCTACTCTTGCACGAATTTCATGCATCAGGCCTCTAGTCTATCTATCTATCTATATCTATATCTATATCTATATCTATATCTATATCTATATCTATATCTATATCTATATCTATATCTATATCTATATCTGTATCATCTATCTATCTATCTATCTATCTATCTATCTATCTATCAATCTATATCTCCTATCTAATAAAAGACAAAAAGGGTAATTGGCCGTACCTTCGCTAAGCTTCCAATTGGCTAAATCAGGACGACATGCAAATTAAATGCCAAGAAAGATGGCGGTTAACTGCCAAGAAGGATGGCAGTTAATTTGCATACATAGGCGCAATGATGGGATGGAAGAACGGTGATCAGAAGCCCAGGCAAGAGTCGGGTGGCAGGGCAAAGGTGGCCTGGGCCCTGGATTGGAGAACCGGGGCCACCTTTGCCCGCCCCCAGCTGGTGACCACTATCGGAAAGCCGGGTCACAGGCAAGGCGGCACCCCCTGGACCCAGGAGCTACCTTGCCTGTGCCCGTGATCCTGATCGCAATCCAAAAGCCTGGCCGCAGGCAAGGTGGCACCCTGGGACCCAGGAGCCCATCCACGAGGTCTGCAGGAGAAGCAGCGATCAAGCTATGAGGGGGAGGGTGGGGGGTGGAAGGAGCTACAGGAGCAGCTCTGGCCGGAGACTGAAGACTCCCGCTGGAGTGAGGAGCAAAGACTGAAGGCTCCAGCCACAGCAAAGACTGTGTCCAGAGTGAAGATGGAAGGTGGTGGCCAGAGTGAAGGCCTGGGTCCCAGGTGCCAGAGAAAAACTGGTGCCAACAGCCAGGGGAAGGGAAAGCCTATTGCATGAATCTTTTCATGCACCAAGCCTCTAGTGTGTGTGTGTGTGTGTGTGTGTGTGTGTGTGTGTGTGTGTGTGTATAAAAGCCTAAGTGACCAAATGACCAAATGACTGGTGAACCGGTCAACAGGTCACTATGATGCACACTGACCACCAGGGGGCAGATGCTAAATGCAGGGGCTGCCCCCTGGCTGTCAATGCAGTCCCACAGTGGGAGTTCTGTTCAGCTGACCTATGTGAGCCAGATGCAGGGCTCACTGTTGGTGAGCACAGCTGCAGTGGAGCGAGCCTCTCCCACCTCCGTGGTAGCACTACCGAGTGGGGGCAGGCACTTAGGGCTGGCCAGGATGAGCGGGGCCCCGCAGCGCCCAGCTGGGGCTTGGACTCCTCCTCAGTGACCTGCCACTTCACGCGCTACTACATCCCTTGGGGTACATCAGACTGTGGGTTTTGGACCTATCCCGCAGCCAGGTCTGGGATAAGGTGCAGGACAGGCTGAGGAACTCCACCAGTGCATGAATCTGTGCACCGGGCCTCTAGTATAAAAAGAAAATACGAATGTTAATGGCAACATTATGGGAGACATACCAAGAAAGGAATGACAGATGTCAGAGGGGAGGAGAGTGGGGCCTGGGACTTGGTGAAAAATAGGAAGCTGTTCACAAAAGAACATACATGCACAGCCCATGGACACAGACAACAGTGTGGTGAGGCCAAGGGAGGGGGAAATGGGGTGGGTGGCAATGGGCAAATGGGAGAAATGGGGGCCATCTGTAAGAGTGTCAACAATAAAAATTAAAGATATTTAATGATTTTGTTGTTTAGTTTCCACATTTAAGTGATTTTATATGAAATGTGTCTGACTGGCTTATTTCACTTAGCATACAAACCAGCAGGTCCATCCATGCTGCCGCAGAAGGTAGGACTTCCTTCTTTCTCACAGCCCAGTAGTACTCCATGGTGTAAACGTACCACAACCTTTTAATCCACTCATTTACTGATGGGCACGTGGCTGCTTCCACATCTTGGCTGTTCTAAATAATGCTACAGTGAACATAGGGGATGTGTATAGTCTTTCGAATGAGCATTTCGGGTTTCTTCGATGATATCCCCAGAAATGGAATCACTGGGTCGAATGGCAGTTCCATTTTTTTACTTTTTGAGAAACCTCCATACTGCTTTCCACAGTGGCTGCACCCGGCTGCATTCCCAGTAGCTTTGCACAAGGGCTCCCTCTTCTCCACATCCAGCACTTGCATTTCCCTGATGCTTAGTGACTTTGTGAATATACAGCGGAGTGAGGGCAGGCTCTGCAATAAATGGTGCTGAGAAAATTGGACAGGTAAATGCAAAACAGAAAGAAAGAAAGAAAAAGAAAGAAAGAAAGAAAGAAAGAAAGAAAGAAAGAAAGAAAGAAAGAAAGAAAGAAAGAAGGAAGGAAATTTACCACCCGCTTACACCATACACAAGAGTACACTCAAAATGGATAAAAGACTTCAATGTAAGTCACAAAGCCATAAAATTCCCAGGAGAGTGACACTTCATGTGTTGTCACCACAGAAGCAGCCAAGGAGCAGAAATTCAGAAACACTAAGTCCATATTCAGCTCCTGTCGACCTGCACTTCCGGAGACTGAGGACTTGGGGACCAGGGTGCTTCTGAGGAAGAGGAGGCAGGGCTGAGCCAAGCGGAGAAGGACACAGGATGTGGGGGGCAGGTTCCTCACTAGGTGTTTGCCTCACAGGAAGGCGACACCTTCTTCTCACTCTAAAAATAGCAGGTGCTGAGGGTCTGACTAGAACCACATTTCCAAACAGCCTACATGTATTTGCTTTTTACTGAATTTTTTTTATTTACTGGGGTGACATTGGTTAATAAAATTATACAGGTTTCAGGTATACGATTCTACACTACAGCATCTGTACATGGTATTGTGTGCTTATCATCCTAACTCTAGTCTATTTCCACACAACTTACCCCATTTTTACCTCCCCCCACCGCACCCTTCCTCTGGCAGTCACCATAGTATTGTCTGTGTCCATGAGTCTTTCTTTTATTTCTTTGCTTAATCCATTCGCCCTTCCCCCCAGCCCACAACCCCCTCTCCTCTGACAGCTGTCAGTCTGTTCTCTGTATACACAAGTCTCTCTCCACTATGTTTTATTTTGTTTATTAGATCCCAAATATGAGTGAAATCATAGGGAACTTGTCTTTCTCTGATGAGATTATTTCACTTCAGATAATGCTCTCCAGATCCATTCATGCTGTCCACAAAGGTAAAAATTACTTCTCTATTTTACAGCTGCACAATATTCCATTGTGTAAATATACCATAGCTTTCATCTCCTGGTGAGCACTTAGGCTGTTTCCAGATCTTGGCCTTTGTAAATTATGCTGCTGTGATCATAGAGGGGCATAGATATTTGTGGATTTA